AGAGTGGTGGAGTTGTCAGAAGGCTGGACCGGGCACTTGATGGTGACCGAGCCATACTTCCTTGTATTGGACGCAGCTATGATGGCCATCTGTGGGATTGTTATGTCATTCCCAGGTGCGTACCCAGGTATTGTTGTTGGCAGCGAGGTATCTGTCAAGAAGAAGAACAATGAGGGCGTGTTTTCTGGGGTTGAAAAGGATACAGAAAAGAGTAGCGACCTGGGAGAGTCCCCTCAGGGAAGTATTGCCTAATATGGATATGCGTAAACTATTGCAGCGTCCCTACCGATCACGTTGTTAATACTCCTTGTTATATAGCCTCAATCATAGTCCTTGACTGGACTGACCATGTATACTATTTTCTTTATGAATATCACTTTTTACCAACGGATATAGATTATTGTAGGCGATCTCACTATAGATAGACAGGTTCGAGCTATCGCTATACTACTGGTGTGAGTCGATTGGGAAATGGGCCGGGCTCACAATTTCCGGATCGTTTCCGGACCGAAGTGGTCACTTTTTTTTTCTAAACAGAGCATTGTCTAACATCAGGTGTAGTATACGCCTAATGGGCTAGCTATAGATACTAAACTGAGTTTATGTTTTTCATCTCACCCAGCGGCACAATAATATTACGGCTCAGCCCCCATTTGTAATTTTCGCTCTGTTATGTTAGACATATGGCCTTAATATGAGCAACTCCAGGCGGTGGTCAGCGTTCTGTATATCCGGCAAATTTGATGCCAGGGTGCTGCTGAGTAGCACCAACTTTGTCACCATGAAAAGTTTAATTCGGTCTTAAGGTACCAAATTAAAGTATATTATTTGTTACAGCAATAAGGTTCTCATCAGATACACATCAGTGTTAGTTTTTGGCTATTTTGGAGACTGATAATGTTTTAGTGAGTGCTGATGGTTAGATGAATATGTGACGATGTTTTAATCAACGAGGCTATGCTTCCACGGAATATCATTTGTGCATTTTACTAGGGTCTAACGCATGGTTTTTTCGTGTTCATGCATTGATGGTATCTAATTATGAAAAATTACAAATATATAAAGTGAAGGGATCTCCCTGAGAGTGTCTTATATTGATTTTCCTACCCCATAATACCAGATATCATAAATATATTTTCTCTGCCATGAGCGCTATCCCTACCGTAACCATTCAAGGTATAACCATCGATGGGGTGCTTTTCAGCTCAGCAGCAGCACAGCTCGCTTCCGCTCAGAAAGAACTTTCTACCGCCACGGCAGCCAAAACCATTGCTTCGTTTTCCTCTGTTGTTTCCGATGCCTCTGTGACGCTCGCCATCATCTCAGAAGTGAAGGTTGCAGCTACCGCCACTGATTCTTCAGTGGTAGCCTCAGCCACGGCAGCTATCCTGTCGTTAATCAGCAATACTTCAATTGACTACTACCGTTACGTGCCAAGTCTTCTGGGTAATTTGATTTTACTTATTCTCGTTGGTTTGGTACTCGGGGTCCAGACGCTTTATACCTTGAAGTACCGCCAGTTCTGGTACTGGTCGTGCTTCTGCGTTGGTATTGCATTGGAGTTTGCCGGTTTCGTCGCCAGAGTGGTATCACATTTCCAACCCTCCAATCAAAATGCTTACTTGTGCCAGAGTATCTGCTTGACGATTACCACCCGGTTCATCTTGGCCGCCTTTTACTGTATCATGGATATACTGGTAATGGTCTACGGCCAGCAGTTCTCCGTCTTGGAACACATCCATTACACCCAAATATTCATCGCCAGTGATTTAGTGACTGTCATTCTCCTGGCGGTAGGTGTTGGGCTTACTTATTCTGCCATTTCCGAAGGCAATTCGACCCATCTTGGTACGAGCCTCTTGGTTGCGGGTCTTGGGATCCAGGCGGTGTCGTTATCCATTTTCATTATCCTCTGGCTGATCTTCTTCTGGCGCGTCCATAAGGCCTCCAAGTTTGCCGAACCCGGGTATAACCCAAGATTTCAACATTTAAGCAGCACTTCTGCCATGAAGAAGTTCCCGGCTTATGCCTTTGTGGGGATTATCTGCATGTATGTGCGTGCAATTTTCAAGGTTGTGGAGTATTCGGAAGGCTGGACCGGGTACTTGAGGGTTCATGAACCATACTTCCTTGGTTTGGACGGGGCTATGGTGGTTATCACTGGGCTTGTGATGTCGTTCCCAGGTGCATACCCCGGTATTGTCGTGGGTGATAACATTTCCGTAAAGAAGAAGAGGAATGGGTGGGTGTTTTATGAGTTCCAGGAAGTCCCAGAAAAGAGTACCGAAATGTGGGGGTACACTCAAGAAAACATGTCATACCGTGGAAATCTTTAGATCATCCGCACCGTTTCTATATGAATACCACTTTTTACCATGGACAGAGATAAATTCTTGTAGATCACCCCACCATGGATATATGCGTTCAAGTTATCGCAACACTTTCGTCTGGATCGATCGGAAATGGGCCAAACACTTATTCTAGCCATTTCCGGTAGCTTAAGAGCCGAATCTGTCCCCAAAAGCTCTATCTTTCCTATACCAAGAGTCTTGCTCTGTGGCTGTAGGCTATAGTATTTACCTAGTGTGTATATTTCCTGAGCTACTATAGGCTTTACGCTTTTCGTCCCATTTCGATGAGCGTTTGCTCCCAATACTGTTTAACCCCGACTAGTCACTAATATTCCGCCATGTCACACAGATAGCCTCATTTAGAACAATCCCTGGTAGCTTTTGGTTCTCCCTGTAAGCTGCAAGCCCAATTTTAGAGCCCTGTAAGTACAGCACTAACTGCGTCATCCTGAAATGCTTAAGTCCGCCTTAAGCCACCAAACTGCATAACGCATAGACCTTCCCGATTCGTACAGGTATAACTTCGAATTATGAAAAAAATATATATACATATATATATATATATATATATAAGACGAGGGAGGGGGAATTTCCTGACAATAGATTACATTATCTATCTCGTTCCATATAACCAGATCTCATACTTACACTACATCTGTCATGGACATCCCTACCGCGACCATTCAAGGCATCACAATCGATGGGGCGCTTTTCAGCTCAGCAGCACAGCTCGCTTCCGCTCAGAAAGTACTTTCTACCGCCACGGCTACCAAAACCATTGCTTCGCTTTCCTCTGTTGTTTCCGATGCCTCTGTGACGCTCGCCATCATCTCAGAATTGAAGGTTGCTGCTACCGCCACTGATTCCTCAGTCTCAGCCTCAGCCACGGCGGCGATCCTGTCGCTTATCGGCGGTGCTGACTTTTCTCTCTACTATTACGTGCCTAGTCTCCCGGGTAATTTGATTTTGCTCATCATTTTAGGGTTGGTACTCGGGATCCAGTCGCTTTATACCTTGAAGTACCGCCAGTTATGGTACTGGACATGCCTCTGGCTCGGTATCGCATTGGAATTCGCCGGCTTCGTCGCCAGGGTGGTGTCGCACTTCCAGCCTTTCAACCAAAGTGCTTACTTGTGTCTGAGTATTTGCGTGACGGCCACTACCCGGTTCATCTTGGCCGCCTTTTACTGTATCATGGATATACTGGTTATCGTTTACGGTGAACAGTTCTCCGTCTTGAAGCGCTTCCGCTACTCCAAAATATTTATCAACAGTGATTTAGTAACGGTCATTATCCTGATGGCGGGCGTTGGGACTGCCTATTCCTCGATTGTTAACGGTGATTCGTCCAATACTGGTACGGACCTATTTATTGCGGGTCTTGGGTTCCAGGTGGGGTCGTTATCCATTTTCATTGTCCTCTGGCTAATCTTCTTCTGGCGCGTCCACAAGGCCTCCAAGTTTGCCGAACCGGGATATAACCCAAGATTTCAACACTTAAGCAGCACTTCTGCCATGAAGAGATTCCCAGCTTATGCCTTTGTAGGGATTGTCTGCATGTATGTGCGTGCAATTTTCAAGGTTGTGGAGTATTCGGAAGGCTGGACCGGGTACTTGAGGGTTCATGAACCATACTTTCTTGTTTTGGATGGTCTTATGGTAGTGATCACTGGGATTGTGATGTCGTTTCCAGGTGGGTACCCCGGTATTATTGTGCGTCATGATGTTTCAGTCAAAAATAAGAAGATAAGGTGGATATTCTATGAGTTTGAGGAGATTGCGGGAAAGAACATCGATATGGAAGAGTCTCCTTAGGGGTGTACTGTTTACAGTGTATCTGTTTAGACTTTATTGGCATATATTCTATTAATTTTTCTTGACACATTTCCTAGTAGGTCTTGACTGAACAGGCCGTAGATACTAATCCCTTAATGATATAACCTTTCCCAAAGATGAAAAAATATATTCTGCCGGGCGACTCCTACTGTGGAGAGACAGACTCGAGTTATCGCGAAACTGCTCGTCTAAACCAACAAGAAAATATGCCAGGGTGCTGCATGTACGGCACAAACGACCGCGTCACCCCAAAACCTGTAAGTGCCTACTCTTTTAGAGCCCTTGTTTGCCAAGCGTATGATTCTTTACGTGCATGCATAATATATAAAATGAAAAGAAAATATGTAACATTGAAAAATATCCCGACGGTGGTTTATACTGTCTGGTTTCTATATAATCAGATCTCGTATTCACACTATATCTGTCATGGACATCCCTACCACGACCATTCAAAACATCACCATCGATGGGGTGCTTTTCACCTTAGCAGCCGCACAGCCCGCTTCCGCGTAGAAAGGACTTTCTGCCACGGCGGCGATCCTGTCACTTATAGACAGCACTGCTGTTTCCTACTACGGTTATGTACCTAACCTTCGATGAAGCTTGCTTATGTTTATTATCATGGGGGTTGTGTGGGGGATACAAAAATTTTACGCCATGAAATACCGCCAATATTGGTGTTGGTCGTGTATTTCTCTAGGTGTCGTATTGGAGTTTGCCGGTTTCGTCGCCAGAGTGGTGTCCCGCTTTCAGCCTTTCACGAACCAAGTCGCTTTCTAGTGCCAGATTTTCTGCATGACCGTTACTACCCGCTGCGTTGTGACTGCCTTTTACTGTATCATGGATATACTGATAATTGTTTACGGCCAACATTTCAACACTTAAGAAGCACTTCTGCCATGAAGAAGTTCCCGCTTTATGCCTCGGTGAGAATTATCTGCATGTATGTCTGCAATTTTCAAAGTTGTGGAGTATGCTCAATAGCGGTCCGGGTACTTAAGGGTCCGTGAGCCATGCTCTCTTGCCCAATACAAAAGAGTATGGCCATCTGCGGGATTGTAGTATAATTCCCAGGTGCATACCCAGGTGTTATAGGTCATGAAATTCCTTTCAAGAACGGATGGGTGTTTTATAAGTTTGAGGGGGCTGTAGTAAGTGTTCAGTGGTAATGTGGCGGGGATCGATGCCTTATATAATGAGGTCGATCCCTCCTTCCGTTATCCTGCAAATCATATAGCTAATCAGTACTGCTATAAGTAGATATTCTACCCTCGAGGTAGAGATATACCACAGAGCCACAGGAAAGAGCAGCTATACCACCGAGTCCTCTCACGGCGGCATTCCTTACCGTAGAAATCTTTAGATTATCCACACTGTTTCTATATGAATACCACTTTTTACCATGGACAAAGATAAATTCTTGTAAGTGGCCCCACCATGGATATATGTGTCCAAGTTACCGCAACACTTTTCATCTGAATCAATTGGGAAATGGGCCAGAATACTACTCTTCTAACCATTTCCGGTAACTTAAAGGTCGAATCTGTCTCCAACAGCTCTACCTTTCCTAGACCAAGAGAGTGTTGCTCTTGTAGGTGTAGGCCATAGTATTCACCCAATGGTGGGCTAGCTGTACCTGTGCAGCATTTACGCCGTTCTTTTAGCTCCGCGGCGCGTATACTTCCAATACGGCTTAACCCCGTGGTGTGTGTACTCCCAATAAGACTTAACCCCGATAAGCATTCCGTAGTGTCACGCGAATGGCCCGTGCCGAACAATCCCCGGAAGCTTTTTACTTTTCCTTCTAAACTGCAAGCCTGCTTCTGAGGCTTTACGTGTACGGCACCAACTGCGCCTTGCTGAAAGGCTTATATCGGCTTTGGTCACATTCGACTAAAGTATATTACTTTTTACGGCATTGAGGCTCTCATCAGACACAAATCAGTATTAATTTTTGGTCGTTGTGGAGATTAACTGTGGCTTGCTGAGTGTCGACGATTCGATGAATATGCGACGATGATTTAGTCCAGCGAGGCTGTGCTTCCATGGATGTTCTACTTACTCGCTCTCGTAAAACCTAACGCATGGTCTTTCCCTGCACGTGTATGTATAATTTCTGAGTATGAAAATAATAACCTATAAAATGGAGGGATTTCCCGACAATAGCTTATATTCGCTCTCTACCATATAACCAGATCTCACATTAACATCCTTTCTGTCATGGACGCTTTTCCTACTGTTACC